TGGTCCAGGTTCATTCTTCTGTGTGTCGTTGTCCAGTTTTCCCAACACGATTTGCTGAAGAGACTTTTTTCCATCGGATGCTCTTTCCTGCTTTGTCAAAGATTAATTGGTCATATACGTGGGTCCATTTCTGGGTTCTCTTTTCTATTACATTGATCTTTGTGCTGTTTTTGTGCAAGTACCATTCTGTCCTGATGATTACAGCTTTGTAACACAGCTTAAAGTGCAGAATTGTAATGCCTCCAGCTTTGGTTTTCTTTTTCAACATTACTTTGACTATTTGGAGTCTTTTGTGGTTCCAAACTAATTTTAGTATTGTTCTAGCTCTGTGAAGAATGCTGGTGTTATTTCGATAGGGATTGCATTGAATGTGTAGATTGTTTCAACATTTTAAACAATATTTGTTCTTCCAGTCCACGAGCATGGATTGTTTTTCCATTTCTTTGTGTCTTCAATTTTTCATAAGCTTTGTATAGTTTTCAGAGTACAGATCTTTTACCTCTTTGGGTAGGTTTATTCCTGGGTACTTATGGTTTTTGGTGCGATTGTAAATGGGATTGATTCCTTGATATCTCTCTCTGCTGCTTCATTATCGGTGTGTAGAAATGCAACCGATTTCTGCACATTGATTTTGTATCCTGTGACTTTGCTGAGTTCATGGATCTAGCAGTCTTTCGGGTTTTCTATGTAGAGTATCAGGTCATCTGTGAAGAGTGAAAGTTTGACTTCTTCCCTGCCGATTTGGATGCTTTATATTTCTTTGTGTTGTCTGATTGCTGAGGCTAAGACTTCCAGCACTATGCTAAACAACAGTGGCGAGAGTGGACATGCCTGTCATGTTCCTGACCTCAGGGGGAAAGCTCTCAGTGTTTCCCCATTGAGGATGATATTAGCTGTGGGTCTTTCATATATGGCTTTGATGATGTATTATTGATTAGATCTCTTGTGTTTGTTATGAACTATTTTCTGTATTCTGGTGTTTCAGGTTGGGCGCATAAATATTTACAATTATTATATCGTCTTATTGGTTTGCCCCCTTTATTATTTATATAGTGTCCTTTTTTGTCCCCTATTACAGTCTTTGTTTTAAAGTCTGTTTTGTCTGATATAAATTTTGCTACTCTGGCTTTCTTTTGACCTCCATTTGCATGATAGATATTTTTCTTTCTCCCCACTTTCAATCTGCTGGTGTCTTTAGGTCTAAAATGAGTCCTTTGTAGGCAGCATATAGATGGGTCTTGTTTATTTCTTTTTATCCATTTTGTCACCCTATGTCTTTTGATTGGAGCATCTAGTCCATTTACATTCAAAGTAATTACTGATAGACATGTATTTATTGCCATTTTATTACTTGTTTTGTGGTTATTTCTGAAGATTTTCTCTGATCCTTTCTTGTTTTTCTGTCTTTCATAGTTTGCTGCTTGTCTTTAGTGATATATTTGCATTTTTTTCTTTACTCATTTATTAGTGGTTTTCGATTTGTGGTTATCAAGTCCAATGAGTATCCTTATGATCATTGCTTTAAATACTTCATCAGGCATGTTACTTATATCTGTTTTGCTTGGCCGTCTGGCTGTGGCCTTGTTTTCTTTCTTCATTTTGTCTATGTCTCTGTGCCTGTTTCTGTGTGTTAGGAAGTCAGCTATGCCTCCTGTTCTTGAGGGTAATGGCCTTACGAAAAAGAGGTCCCCGCAGTGCAGTGTCCCCTGTTCCCCAGGCCCTGGCGCTTCCGGGAGTGTCTCCAGTGTGTGCTGTGTGCACGCTCTTACGTCCTAGATACTTTATCCTTCAGGCCAGTTGTCTGCAGAGGCTTTCTTCGCCTGTTGTGTGCAGTGTTTGATGCATTTTAGGTGCTCTCTGGTGTGCTTGTGAAATGTGACCTGTTGCTGCCTCCACCAGAACAGAGGTTCTGGAAAACTCCCAGGTTGGGAGACCCAGTGTTGGCATGGGCTTGGGCCAGTCTTCTGGGGGAGGGGGCCTGCCACGTGGGACTGAGGTGCAGGTGGCTGGGGAAGGGTGGTTCTTCTGGAACGCGTGGTGGGGGACCCGGTGTAAACAATTTAGGTGGTGAGTGTCGGGGTTGCACTGTTTCCCGCAGGCGGCTTTGTGCTCATGCTGAGGGGCCTGGGAGGGAAATGGCACCTGCTAGATCCTTTATTCCCAGAGAGGTCCCTCTGTGAATACTGCCGCTCTGAGACACGCTCCCAGATGAGCAACTAACCTCCCCACTGTGTGCCCCAGGCGCTGTTCAGATCACTGTTTCCTCGTGTATGTCTGCAGGCTGTTTGCCTGCCTTTTCTCCAGGAGCAGCCCAATGTCCTCTGAGCTGTCCCAGAGCCAGGGATACTGACCTGTCAAACTCCAGGCTTTAAGCCCCACTGGTTGCAAGAACTCATGAAATTCGGGCCCTGTCTCTTTCCAAGCCAAATGCTATTGGGGTTCGATTTCCCCATGTGCTCCCCTGTGTGCTGGTCTGTCTCCTCCTTCTTCACGACTCCCTCCCCACCATCATGGCCATGATTTGTTTCTCTCCCAAGCCGCATCCCCACATTTCTATCTTTTTTGATGTGGCCTCTTCTCTAGTTGTGGATTTTTTCCTGCCAGTTTTCAGATCGACTCCTAGGGTATTTCTTTAGTTATGTAGTTGTATTCCTGGGACAAGGCAAGCCCAGGGGCCTCCTACTCTGCCACTATCTTTCCCTCCCACCTATCAAGTTCTTTTATCTTTTTGTTACCTCTTTTTTTCCCTTTACCTTTCCTGAAGAAATACTGACATAGCAAGGGAGGTTGTCAAAAAGAAAGACTTTAGGGGCGCCTGGGTGGCGCAGTCGGTTAAGCGTCTGACATCAGCCAGGTCACGATCTCGCGGTCCGTGAGTTCGAGCCCCGCGTCAGGCTCTGGGCTGATGGCTCGGAGCCTGGAGCCTGTTTCCGACTCTGTGTCTCCCTCTCTCTCTGCCCCTCCCCAGTTCATGCTCTGTCTCTCTCTGTCCCAAAAATAAATAAAAAACGTTGAAAAAAAAATTAAAAAAAAAAGAAGAAAGACTTTATGTATTTATTTTTAAAATATTTTATTTTATTTTTTGAGAGAGAGGGTGCAAGCGAGTGAGGGGCAGAGAGACAGAGAGAGAGAGAGAGAGAGAGAGAATGGGAGAGAGAGGGGGAAAGAGAGAGAGAGAGAGAGAGAAGCAGGGCTTACCCTAAGCGGGGCTCGCACTCACAAACCGCGAGATCATGACCTGAGCCGGAGTCAGATACTTAACTGAGTGAGCCACCCAGATGCTCTAAAGATTTTATTTTTAAGTCATCTCTGCACCCACCATGGAGCTCAAATCTACAACCCTGAGGTCAAGAGTTGCATGCTGTATTGACTGAGCCAGCCAGGTGCACCAAAAGACGTAATTTAAAAGGAATCCTGACGGATGTAGCAAATGTAGAAGGGGAGCGGAGGGGTGCACATGCCTCTGTGGCTCAGTGAGGGGTGTTTATGGGCGGCCTGAAGATGGTGGAACTTGAAAGCTTTTTTTTTTTTCTTAACATCAACTGGGGAAACTATTCTTGTGCTTTATGTAAAAATAACAATGGGTCACATCCTTATTGTAGATTTTCTTTTTCCTGTCTTTTCTTTAAAAACAACAAGCATCCTTTTTTGCATCTTGAAAAGGGAACTCCTTTATTCAAATTCCAGCAATGCAGAATTCTTAAGGCATCTAAAAGTAAGGCAAGACTGTGTATATTCACTCTTGCCTTTCTTTTTTCTCAGTCACTTTAGTTTTTCTTAGTTTTCTTTTCAGTATTCCCAAATATTAAAATTCAGTCATTTGATTCACAGTTTTAAAGAATCATGACCAAAGCCCAGTGAAATTTATTCTAGGAATGCAAAGTTGATTCAACATCTGATAATCAATTAATATAATAGAGCATATTCATAAAGGACAAAACCTGTCACATGATCATCTTAGTAGAGGCAGAAAAAACATTTGACAAAATCCAAAGACTCCTTCCTAATGCACGTATCCAACAAATTAGGAACGGAACGGAACTTGCTCAACCTGATGAAGGTCATATACAAAGCACAGCTAACGTCATATTTAAATGTGAAAGGTTGGATGTTGTGAATAATGCTGTGAAAACGGTGTACAGATGCCTCTTGACAACCTTGCTTTTCTTTCTGGTTTTATTTGCAGACGGAAAGATCTAAAAAGGTGGACAACACAGTGAGCTCTGGAAAACGGGACTGGGGTGCAGGGTGAAGGTGGCATTTTGGCTTGTTGTTTCATACACTTGATGTTATAATTTTTTTTTTACAGCAAGCTTTAGGTTCTGTTTACAATTGGTAAATTATGAAAGCACTAATTGTTATGCATTTGATTTGTTCTGTACTAAGAAATCGGCAGCCCCTTTACCAGAAATACCTTCACCTGTCTTGAAAGAATGTAGGTTGAGACTGAAGGAGAACCCCTCCAAGGATGTCTTTGAGGAGTGCACCAGGTGAGTACCGGTCCGGCCCTACACAGACTGAGACGGGGGCTCCCGGGGGGCCTCCCTGCAGGAGACAAGTTCTTATTGGAGTACTTTCCAAAAGAAAATGGTCACTGTCACTAGGTAGAGCTAAACGAAGGGTGATAATCACACAGATGTAAATGACACACTGAAATGGGTCACATTGTGGAGAGCCAGTATGTGCACAGGTTTTGTGGGCCCCTGGCCCCTCAGCTCAGCCTTCTAAAATGCTTGTGTCTGGGATGAAAAGACTGGCATAAAATGTTGTTTTTTTTTTTTCAACGTTTTTTAATTTATTTTTGGGACAGAGAGAGACAGAGCATGAACGGGGGAGGGGCAGAGAGAGAGGGAGACACAGAATCGGAAACAGGCTCCAGGCTCTGAGCCATCAGCCCAGAGCCTGACGCGGGGCTCGAACCCACGGACCGTGAGATCGTGACCTGGCTGAAGCCGGACGCTTAACCGACTGCGCCACCCAGGCGCCCCAAAATGTTGTTTTTTAAAGACCTCGGCACTCGCTGAAAATTTCTTTTCTCTGGATGTTTGCAATGTGGACAGGAAAATTCTAAGTCAGAGCACTTTGAGTGAATCTGGCATCCTTCTGTACATAGGAAGAAAGAATGGTTTCTGGAGTGATCTGGCCTGAGACACGTGTGGTCCTTTGTACAGTTAGGCAGCATTCGGGTATCACTTACTCATTCATTCAACAGGTACTTGTTGAGTGCCGACTCTATGTCAGGGACTGTGTCCTTTTCCCAAGGCTGCCGTAACAAAGTCCCACAGACTTAGGAGGCTTCGAACAACAGAACTTTATGCTCACAGTCTGGAAGCTGCAAGTCTGAAGTCATACTCTCTGCAGGGCCGTACTCTCTGTAGACTTGAGGAGAGGGCTCTTCCTCACCTCCTCTTGTTTCTGGCGGTGGCCAGGAGTCCTGATGTTTTGGGCCTGCACCCGCTGCATTTCAATCTCTGCTGTCACGTGGCCTTCTTCCCTTGGGTTTTTGTCCCTGTGTTTTCTCCTTTTCTAATAAGGGCACCAGTCATATTGGACTAGGGCCCATCCTACTCCAGGGTGACCTCATCTTAACTAATTATATCTGCAACAACCCTATTTCCAGGTAAGGTCAGTATACAGGTTCAAGGTTAGGACTTCAACATAGTTTTTGGGAGATGGATTCCAAGCCATGATAGTTTGCTTCTTTGGGTTGAGGTTATGGTAGAGGACAAAACAGAATAAAATGCTGCTGACTTGAGTTTACATTCTTACATGCCCTAAGGAAATATACAGTGTAGAGTCTTCACTTATTACTTATTTTTTGGAAGACATTTATTTAAGCACATACTATGTGCCTGTCATTGATCTAGTTTCCAGGAATAAAATGATGAGCAACAGTGAACTCCTAGGGAGCTTGTAACCGAGTGGAGTAACCGAGACGTCGGTATTAGTTGCCAATTGCTGCTGTAACAAATTGCCACAATCTTGGTGGCCTAAAGCAACACACATTTATTTTCTTGCAGTTCTAGAGGCCAAAGGCCTGAAAGCAGTGTCGCTGGGCAGAAATCAAGGTGTCAGCAGGGCCTTGATCCATTTGAGAATGTAGGGGAGAATCCATTTTCTTGTTTTTTTCCAGCTTCTAGGAATACATTTCTTGGCTCATGGCCCCTTACTCCACCTTCAAAACCAGCAGTACAGCATTCTCAAGTTTCTCTCTGCTTCCATCTTCGCATAGCCTTTTCTTACTCTGTGTGTCCAAATCTCCCTCAGTCTCCCTTTTACAAGGACACGTGTGATGGCATTTAGGGCCCACCCAGATAATCCAGGATCGTTTTCCCTCTCAAGCCCCTTAACTCAGTCACATTTGCAGAGTCCCTGTTGCCATGTAAGGTGACAGTCCCAGGTTCCAGGGATTAGGACCCAGATGTGTTTCTGTCATTGTTGAGTCTCCCACAAGTGTAGGGCAGGTTGCCAGTGACCTGCCCTCTCCTAGTCTGTGACCAAGAGAAGAGTGTCCACAAAGACTGCACCTAAAGGCTGAGGGGGAGGCCGAGGGAGCTGGACCAGGTTGGGGACACTAGGAAATGTGGAGGCGATCTTCATAGCCTCCAGAACAGCGCTCAGGTCTAAGGTTGTCTACGGCAGCCGTTTCGAACTTCCCCATCTCCTGATGCCATTACGCTATTAAACACTTTTGTATATGTGGCTTATGTTTTTAAAAATAAAAAGACACAAGCATTCTCCTAGCCATCAGAGCAGTGACATCCTATGTCTTATGCTTCTGGAAAACGCTCTGTGGAAATGAGATGGTTTTTTTTTTTCACGTGTATTTATTTATTTTGAGAGAGAGAGAGAGAACCAGTGGGGAAGGGGCAGGGAGACAGGGGGACAGAGGATCCGAAGCTCGCTGTGTGCTGACAGCAATGAGCCCAATATGGGGCTCGAACTCACAAAGTGTGAGATCATGACCTGAGCCAAGGTTGGACGCTTAACTGACTGAGCCACCCAGGTGCCCCTGAAAATGAAGTTTTTAAAAGGTACATGATGTCTTAGCATTATAACAAGTATAGTACAAATATAGTTTCCTTATTAACCACCTGCCCACCCCCGACTGACAAGGTCTCAGAATCCAGAGATCCTCCGAACACATTTTGAGAATCACTGTGCTGTAACACTAATGAGTCCAAGAGCTTGTGAATAACCTCCTTTTACAAAATGAAGTGAAATCAAGTGGCTTCCTCAGATTATTTTTTCTTTTAGAGAGAACACACGCCAGCCGTGGAGAGAGGCGGAGGGAGAGAGAGGGAATCCCAAGCAGGCTCCCCACTCAGCATGGAGCCCCGTGTGGGGCTTGATCCCATGACTGTAAGATCGTGACCTGAGCTGAAGTCAAGAGTCAGACCTTCAACCGACTGAGCCACGCAGGCGCCCCTGATTGCTCAACTCTAACGACCAGTAAAAATGCTGGAGCCCCTTCAGCTACTGGCCTGCTGGCAATTCCCCATGACGACTATGATCTTTTCCCATTCGGAGTTCTGCCTTTGCTTGGGAGACCCTCCCTTCTCCCTTCCTCAGGGTGACTCCTATTCAGCTCAGACGCCACCTTCACAAAGTCTCCCTACACCTCCTTTCCCAGGAGAGGTGTTCCGAGCACACCAGGCACGGCTGTAACAACTCTGGTGGCACTCTTCTCCTAATGGCACGCTATCTTACCAGTCTCCCTGTTTGAGTGGCCAGATTCTTCAGGGTAAGCCTAATCTAAAATTGTCCCTCCAGTGTCTTGCACACTGCTGACAATCTAGTCGTTAGATGCTTACTGACTGATGAGCTGTTTTAAATGACAGACTATGGGGGCTCCTGGGTGGCTCAGTCAGTTAAGTGTTTGACTTCGGCTCAGGTCATGGTCTCACGGTCTGCAACTTGAAGCCCCGCGTCGGGCTCTGTGCTGACAGCTTGGAGCCTGGAGCCTGCTTCCGATTCTGTGTCTCCCTCTCTCTCTGCCCCTCCCTTGCTCACGCTCTGTCTCTCAAAAATAAATAAACATTGAAAACAATTTTAAATGACAGACCACATTCTGTCCCTTACTGACTCTCCAAATAAGAATTTTATTACTTTGGGGCATCTGGGTGGCTCAATTGGGTGAGTGTCCGACTCTTGGTTTTAGCTCAGGTAATGTTCCAAGGGTTGTGGGATTGAGTCCCCTATAGGGCTCTACACCGACCGTGGAGCCTGCTTAAGATTCTCTTTCTCCCTCTCCCTCTGCCCCTCTCCCCACTTGTGCTCTCTCTATCTCAAATTTAAAAAAAAATTATTACTTCTGTAATAAAATTATAAATAAAACTTTAGAAGCATGACTAATTGCACAAAAATTCAGGAAGTGTATAGCATAAAATAATTCATTGGATGCTTTAGTTTCAATGTTTAAAAAAGGTGGTGTCACATATTAACATTTTCTGTCATATGACTATTATCATTTAGATATTCATTCTAATCTTATATACAAAATGTTTACATTCCCTGCTGAAATACACATGTTTGGGTGTATGCACACGTGTGCACTCCTGCACACACACACATGCACACACACACACATGCACACACACACACACACACACACACACACACACACACACACACACACCTTGAGTACATATACATAAAAAGAACTTTTGACTTTGGGAGGGTAAACCAATTTCATTTCTTCTGAATTCTTGCCTTCATATTTTTAGTGATAACATTAGAAACTAGTGTGGAATTCTATACTTGCAAACCTCAATATATTTAATTGTGTATAACGATTGATTTCCCATATCCAGTGTTCATGACTGTACTGAACGCAGCTGTTTTCCTGCTGTAATGCAGCAGATGTATAGAATTATATAAAATCTTTTTCTAGATTTGTTCATAACTATTTAAGTGGAGAACCATTTGAAGAATATCAAGAAAGTTCATATTTTTCTCGATTTCTACAGTGGAAGTGGCTGGAAAGGTATGTTCTAATTTAGAATTCAACAAAAACAAGTAGTGACTTCTCAGAACGTGTACTGATAGATGTATACTTTCCCATCTGTCAAAATACTATTAGAAATCTTGGGCTGTATATGGTATTTTTATACAGAAATTATTAATATGTGTTATATAATTTCTTCTGATTTAGTTGACTCTGTTCTGTCTTTTTAAAATGGCCAGTTACGCCTGGGTGGCTCAGTCGGTTAAGCATATGACTTTGGCCCAGGTCACGATCTCACCGTTGGTGAGTTCGAGCCCCACATCGGGCTCTGTGCTGACAGCTCAGAGCCTGGAGCCTGCTTCAGATTCTGTCTCCCTCTCTCTCTGCCCCTCCCCAGCTCACACTTGCACTCTCTCTCTCTCTCTCTCTCTCTCTCTCTGTCAAAAATAAACAATAATAATAATAATAATAATAATAATAATAGAATAAAATAAAATAAAATGGCCAGTTAGCCCTGTGGGTATAGTAGTTAGAAAATAAAACGTATCCTGGATTCACAGAGGTATAAACCAATGCACACTGGTTCAGTCTTGTGGTCTGAGCCCTGCTCAGCTTTGTACAAGCCATGTGGGCTCAGTCAAAAGACCTGACCTTCATGAGCATCGGGTCCTTGTTCTGTAAAATAGAGGTAATTCTATAATCTACCCCACGGGGCTGCTGAGGCCACCTGAAAAATGTGTGTAAAAAGTGCTTGGTGTACAAAGTAAGTGTTCAAAAAGTGTTAGCTGCCACCAGTGTCACTGTTGTTTTGATTGATTGTTTAAATTTCCAGTTCTACTTCATGTACATTTCTTTCGAGACGTTGAGGATGAACATGTCCTCTGAGGTTCTTCTCCCAAAGGATAGTGCACTGTAGATCTATCATTTTCCTCTGCAGCTTTCTGACTGGCCCGATTCATAAGTATTTCATAGTGTGGACTAGTTGCTGACCTGTCTTTAATTGGCAAGGATACTTGGACTGTTCCTTATGTATCTTCAGTGTATCCGGTAAATCTTCATAGTTGACGTGCGCATCTGCCTCTTAGTGCAGAGAGCTGTGTCAGCAGAGGGGATGGAGTCCCTGAGCACAGGCACCGTGCCCCAGGCACTTGCTTTGAACAGCATGCTTTCATAAATAAAGCAGGACAAGAGCTAGGTAGGCTTTTCTGTTTTAAAATAACAATGTGATGTGAGACCTGAAGCTTTTTGTTTTTTTAATTAATTAGGCAACCAATAACAAAGGATACGTTTAGACATTACAGAGTTCTAGGAAAAGGCGGATTTGGGGAGGTAAGTAATGTGTGACTAACCATAAGCAATACTTCTAGAAAAGTAAGATAGCAAGGGAACGAAAAGACGTGCTTCAACTTTACCAATACCTTTATTTCCTCACCGTGTGTTTTGGGAATAATTTTAGCCAACCATGTGAGTTAAGATTGAACTTCGAACAAAAGGTGCTTTGCTACATGCTTTTAAAAAAATTCGGAGATGTGGAAAGAAATGTGCTATCATTGTGATTTTTTCTTCACTTCACGTTTCTTATGGAAGCTGTTTTCCTGTGTTTGATTGTCCGATGTTCAAGCTCAGTTTGTCCCGACTGAAAAGATGATTCTGTGTCCATATTGTGGACTTTCTGTTACTCTATTTCCATAATTTAGGACTAGCCTAAAAGCTCACTTAGTACAGGGTATATTATTAAATAGGCTTATTTATCTCAACTCTGTTTGGATGTGTATATGTGCCCCCACACCTACATCAAAAGATACTACACAACATCTAAATTTGGGGAAATCCTGAGGAAACTGTCCACAAATTCATGAGACATGGTCTAAATGTAATGGCTCTCCCAGATAGAGACTATTGTGGGAGGTGGACACAGAATCACATGCAGTTCTGTTTCGGTAACTTAAAGAGGTGTTAATGGCCTCGCTATTGGTCTGGAGTGGTCATATTCAGCTCGGGCATTTACAACTGCCCAGAGCCAGGAGCTGTGTGTTTAGTCAGAAGCAAGTCACGCTGGCCACTCGTGATTTAAATCCTGCACACTCCCAAATTCCAATCAAAAGCCTAAACCAGACGTACCAGAATTGCCTTAACGTGGATTAGGAAGCTGGCCTCGAGGCCTTGTGCTGCAAGTAAGACCTGTAGTTGGACGTGGTAAGAAACTGGTCCTCGTAGCCATTACGTCCGGAGAGTCCGTGGTACCGACCCTCTGATTCGGTCCTGGAGACCTTTTAGAGTATTTTGAGTGATCTCAACCAAAAACGTTTGCTGTCACCCTGTCGGGATAGATACTTCTGTAAGAAATCCACTCTATCTTTCCGTACATCCTAGAGCAGGAAAATTTGCTCTGTTTAATTCATGCTATTCTGCCTTTCGTGATCTCCAAGTATAAAACTCAGATTTTGTCGGAGAACAGACGGAAAGACATTTCAAGCACATGGATCTTGTGTTTACAACAGAATGTAGTTCTAACTGTAGCCATGCGTACATTTAAAAATGGACTCAGTGATAACATGTTTGCAGCTTTTAACTGTTGTGGAAGACTTGGTGTATTTATGATATTTATAGATTACTTTTTAACACATTTACTTGTGTTTCCAAACAAAAGATTGTGTGGATGAAAAAAATGTTGTGGCTTTTCACAGACTTGTTCTGGATGTGCTATTTGTTACATCAAGTCTGAGCGCAGAGGAGTGAATATCTGTTTCTATTCTGAATACCTGTCAGAGGGAGACTGTGACCCTAATGCAGACAGCCTCAGTGCCTCTTTTATTTGAGATAGAGAGAGAGAGAAGGAGGAGGAGGAGGAGGAGGAGGAGGAGGAGGAGGAGGAGAAGGAGGGGGAGGGGGAGGGGGGGCAAAGGAAGAAAGAGAAAGAATCCCAAGCTGATGTGGAGCTCCATCCCATGACCCTGGGATCACGACCTGAGATGAAATCAAGTCAGACACTCAGCTGACTGAGGCACCCAGATGCCCTGCCTCGGTGCCATTTAAATCCAGATTCCAATGGTGTATTTACTTTTTCCAAATGCTAATACTTCTTCCGGTGGGTTTGAAAGGACAAACATTTTGGTCTTATCTCGTCAACTACTTTCATTTATGCTTGAAGTCCTCCAAAATGGATCTGTAGGGCTCTGGGGCAGAACGGGGGAAAGAGAATTAGTAGCGTCTGTGCGAGCACGGTTGTAGAGACAGCAGAGAGCTGTGGAGAGAGCGTATCTGTGAGAGATAGGCAGACTGGAGGTGAGTTCCTGTTCTATCGCTTCCAGCTGTGTGATCTTGGGCCCACCGTCCCCTTCTTACCCTTAAGGGGGAGATGATCCCTGCTTCCCTGGGTTGTTGTGAGCGGCAAATGAGTGTGCGTCTCCAGCCATAGTGCAGGGCTGGCACGCTTACCTCTTCCTTCTCTCCCTTTGACTTGGCAGTTTCACTTAAAAGAATTATCGTAAGTTAACGATGGAGAGATATGCCATGGTTTGTGTGCCGCGTCTTAATGATTATATAAGGTTTGGAGTATTCATATATTGGGAGAAGATTTAATGATGAGAAGAGAGTCCCACTGTAAGATGAAAACAGTATAAAATATTACCTATTCTATAATATAAGGCCAGTTCCCCCTGCCAAAACTGAGGAGAACTCAGGACCCTATACAGCAAATGTGAATGAGAGTCATCTTGGAATTTCAACGAGTTTTATCCTTATTGAGTTTTGTCCTTATTAATACTTTCTGTATTTTCCACAATGAACTTTATATTTTATTATCAAAATCATTTTATTGATGGATTAAAATGATGTGTCTTATATTTGCTTATAAGGTAATTGTGTTTGTGTATGTGTAGCATGTGCCTGTGTTACATGCCTGGGGGCACATACGTGTCTATGGTGTGCAGTAGGTGTGTGTGGTGTGTGTACATGTATATATGTGTGTGTGTGGTTGTGGAGTAAGTGTGTATGGGGTGTGGGTATGTGTCTGTGGTGTGGGCGTGTGTGTTTGGTGTGGAATGGGTGTGGATGTGGTGTAGAGGGTGTGTGTGTGTCTGCAGTGGGGGTGTGGAGGGTGTGTGTGTGTGTGTGTGTGTGTGTGTAGGGGGTAGGAGTCTGAGGAAACAGGGTAACCCTGAGCTGATAGCCAGAGGCTGGGGGTCAGGCACATGGGAGCTTATTATTCCCTCCTCTCCACTTTTGTAATTTTGGAAATTTTCTCATAATGTAAGGTTAAGTAGTATATAGATATCATTTTACAACTAAGTAGAATCAATGTATTAAAGGTTATGAATTCTCTGAAATCTATTTTTTTATATTCTTGAACTTAAAAAAAAAAAAAAG